AAAATTGAAAAAAAAAATATTTTTAACAATACGGTTCCGTAATAAAAGAGATGAACTGATGTGAAGAAAATGCAAGAGGATGACGAGGCACGCTGCACCGGCTGAAAGCGAAATATGTATATAAGCGCATAGAATTTCAAGGTTAAACGAAGGGTACAGCTGATATACATAAAAATATGTGTTAGGTATTTAGGCATATTTATATGGACATATCTACATATTTTAATAAATGAAAATGAATAAATACACAAGTATATACACAATATATGTAATTATATACGTGTGTTCTTTCCATGAGTGCATAAACACTCAAAAGTTGAAGTGATGAGTTGCATTAAGGATAAAATTACGGGGAATATTTCATTTTGCATTTCATCAAGATATTTTAAGTTACAGGGTGTTTTATGACCACTTAGGATTGCTTGTATAAGAAATCGACGAAGAAATTTAAAATAGTTTTTTTTTTTTGGAATAGTGATTTCGATTATGTTAGATCCTATCCTAAATGGAGATGATAAAATTTAGACTTCGGTCATATATAAAGCTTGGACACGCCCAGCGTATGTATGAGAATGCCGCGTTGAAATTCTACAAACTCTAAAGCGACAGCAATGCAAATCTCTACGCAAGGTGTTAACCCTAAACAGGTTATTACACGAATTTGGAAATAAATTAAACATTATGGCTTCTACAAGTCCGACATGTGAATGAGGAACCCATCTTAAAACTCATTCTAACGCGACAAGTTCTAAATTAGAAATGATAATCCATTGAAACTTTAATTTCAAAACTGAACTGGAACGGTCAGTATGTAAGATAAATTGTAAAGAAGGCTTTGATCCAACAAGAATTGTGACGGTATGAAAGAAGCTTCAATAATTTTTGTACTCCACTGTAGGTAATAAAGGTAATAAGATAAGATAATACCCTTAAAAGGGTATTACAGTTAACTTGATTATTACTAATTATTGAATAAATTGCTTAGCCCTTTGAATTTGTAATAGTTACAATGTAGATTGGCAGACTACATTTATCTCGAAACTGATTTATATATACAATAAACTTAATACGTCCTTATTATTAAAATATTTGAAGAGATAGTCGTATATTATGACCTATAGACTATAAGGATTATTGTACAAAAAATTGGAGAGAACTTTTAATTGAAAATTGTGATTAAGAGAAAATTGAAGAAAACAGTAAAATATCGATTTTAAAAATTTTAAACGAATCTACTTCAACTTAAACTATTAGCCGAATACAATTAGCGAAGTTCATCCAATTATATCTATATACAATTAGATATATACTATATAGATGAAAATTATTTATGTGAAGTGTGTTGAAGCTTCGTTAAAATCAAAGTCATGAGTAACATTTATTATTATTTTTTTTAATACAATTCCTTCAGAACTCGAATATAATAATAACTCATTTATGGGTATGTACTTAAGATGTGTGAATGCCAGTGAAGAACAATTTCTATACAATTTTTTTTAATAATTTGGCTTCTTTATAATGTAAACACTAAAAGCTAAAAATAAAATGACGAATAGAACCCACTTGCAAACATTTGTAAAAATTATTATAAAAATATTTTATTTTTGTATTCTATTGATTTATTCGTTTGTTTTAAATAACAAAAGCTATTCTTATTTACTTAAAATACTGTGAATTGAAAGCTTGACATCACAATTTATCATCATATCTATAACTATTTTATAGAAATGCATTCGAAATTTATCTTTTTTGCAATATTTGTATGTATATATGTATGAACAAATATGAATGTAAGTTTAAAGCTTGTTGAAAGTAAATTTATAATTTTTTTAATAGATATTTTTTGAACTATTGAATTTCTTAGCAGAATGCTTTATTTTATCAGATATAGTTCTGCTATTATATCTAGTGCTATAATAATAGCACTAGGTATCACTAGGATCTTGTTTAAATGGTAGATGGCCATAAAAAAGTCAAGAGAAAATAAAACGTTGTGGCCATTTTCAATTGAGATACATTTTATGTACTATATTAAAAAAATAACAGTTATTGTTAAAAAGAAAACAACTATGAAGTCTTATCAATCGCCATTTAAAACAGAATTCACAAAATAATAATTACATTTGCCTTACATAATATTTTTCAAAAATAATTATTATTATTTGCCTTTTACTTTTCCACGTACAAATTACTTTATATAAAGTATACATTATACTCGTGTAAAAGATGAATGTTTTTAAAATAAGAACTGTATACTTAAATAAGAATTCAGACAACTTTTTGCTGTTGTTTTTTTTTTGTGAAAATTTTTTAAATAATTATTGTTTTCGGTCCCTGGCCATATTGTAGTGTTATCAGAAAGTCGTTGATTATGGCACTTTGGATGTGTTTTGATTTGTTTTGTTTCGTTTCGTTTCTCATGCTTAGCCAAGCTCAGGCTACACTTTTGTTTTTATTTCTTATTTATTCAGGTTTTTCAAAGTCAAGGTTAAATTTAATGTTTTGTTTTGGTTTGTAATATGCTTTGTTATTATTTTTTGGCTTTATTTTATTCAGATTTTTTTAGTTCTTTTAATTCTAATTTTTTTTTAAATTTAATTTTTTTTAATATTATTTTTTTTTTGATTTTGTACTTTTTTATTTTATTTTTTTTTTAATTCCAATTTCCTTTAATTAAAGTTTTATCATTATTTTTATTTTCTCTTTAATAATTTTATCTGCACGCTGGTTTGTAAAGAGTTAGATTTGGTTCTGCCCAAGTATAATTTTAGAAGACTTGAAAAAAATATTTTTTCTATAATGACTGTACTTTGGAGGTTCTATTCAAATCTAAACCTTTATGATATATACATATTTCAAAGTGATATTTGTAATAAATTGAGCAACAAACTTAATTCGAAATCAATTAAAAGTAAGAAATTATAATTTTCCATGCAAAATTGTTCATAATAATTAAATTTTTGTTTCAAAATTTTCTAATATTCTTTATGCGTTGCCGTTTCAAATTTTATTAATAAATAGTAGGTACCATATAGAACATAATCTGCCTAGAAGCAGACGAGACTTTCAGTCACATTCTCTGTGACTGCCCAGTGTTGATCTGGGCCAGGAGGATGTCAGGAAATAATTATTTTTTTATGGAAGTCTTTATGAGATACAACATTATTTTTAAAGCAGTAATTTGATACAATACTATATTAAATTTGTAATAATTTTTTAATAACTTGAAATAAAATCGTAACATCTTAAAAAAAGCCAACAGAGCACATAAATTAAGCATGAAATATATCATAATTAAAATAAGAAAGAAAAATTATTTACGTAAATTTAAATATAAGAAATAATTTCAAGATCACTGAAAATGGACAATGCTCGAAAGATTTGTATAATTAAAATAATAAAAAAAGAATTTTTGTTGTTGTAATTCACTACTTTTCGAAACCTCTTTACCAGTAACAAATTTAAAAATAATAAACTTAATTTATACTGTCACAATTATCGCATTTTCGGAATTTACTTATAAATTGTGCAATTAGTTGCAATTTTTATTTCAGACAAATCAGTGAAAATTTTATCCATTTTATCAATAGAATAATGATCCACTAATTGACTTCAATTAACAGAGAGAATGTTACAAAGAAAGATTTAAATATGCTACCCATGTGTGTAAGTGTATAAAATTTTATTTTAATTAATATTTTTCATTATTAGTTTTTAATGAATTTTACGCTAAAATAAAACTAATTATTTGTGTACAAATTTAATTTTATATTTATAAAACAAATTGATGTTCTTATTTAATTGCGTTGTTCAAAAATTTAATTGCTTTGAATTAACTCCCAATTTTAAATGTGCAATTAACGTAAAATGAGATCACTAGTTGTGAAGTGTAAACATTAGCTCTGGTCCACGAGTAACTTTGAGTAACTATGTGTATACACAAGTGCGTTCCACCCACGGTTGCCACTTGAAAATTTTTTTCTGTACCAAAATTGGTTTAAAAAGGTACCATTTCTGTAAAAAAAGGTCCTAAATTTTTATATTGTCTTTTTATAAGAAAATACAATTTATATAAAATGTGCAAAAAGTATAAAACAATACAATATCCACAATAAAGTTGGGTCGCCGAAAATGTACCATTTTTTGAACATGAGTACCAGAGTACCAAACGGAAAAAAAAGTACCAATTTTGGTACTAAAGTACCATAAGTGGCAACCGTGGTTGCATGTTCCATGAAAATCTGTGTAAAGAGCGTAAACTGGCACTTTATTTGTGTTATGCTCTCAGTTGGTACTTTACTTGTGTTTTACTTGAGTTTTACTATGAGTAGCTATTGTATTATATATCATAATTGCAATTTTTTTTTCAAGTATTGTTTTACGAAATTATTATTACGACCAATATTCAATACGTTTTTTTTAAATATCTGTAATACCAATCATTTTTTAAAAAAATTAATAAACTACATATTCAATAGTATTAATTATTAATTTAATAACACAAATTTATAAGTATATTTTTTATTTAAAAAAGCATTTTTAATATTTATGTGTTAAATTATTAACCTAAACCCAGTAATAGTTTAATAGTTTGCAATAAAATATTTAATATTATTAATTATATTGCATAATATTAATTTTAGTTTTAAAATTTAATATATATTAGTGAAAATTTTTTTAAATTGTAGAAGCTTTTCTTTAATTTGAAAATAAAATAGTAGTATTTATATAACATTCCTAAATAAAATAATTACGTATATTAGAATATTATTTAATATTTGTAGATTATTAAGGGTGTCCGATACAGTCAACCGATTTAAAATATTTATTAATAAAAATATTTACGTAAAAACAAATAATAAATTAAAATGAATGATACTTATATATTCTTAAACAAACAACACAGTCTTGGTACTTGCTGTAACTAAAGTTTATTTTTAATTTAATTTATATTTAACAAGAAAAAATTTTAGAGAAAATAAAAAAAAAAAAGTACTCACTTTGCACTGCCAACTGCTGCTGATGTGCCGCCGCACGCTGCAAATAAAAAAAATCAAAATAAATAATTTTTTAAATGAAATTGCAAATTATCTTAATAAACAAACAATTTGAGATTCTACTTAATTTTACTTTATTTTTACACACAACTTTTACGTTAGTTTATTAAGTAAACTCAATGACTGCAAATATTTACATTTTGTAGTAAGGCGCGCACACCGTTGCGTTGCAACGCCTCCACATCTAGCGACTGACTGCGGGCGCGCTGCTTCTTGGATTCTGATGACGGATACGCGTGACGATATATCCAACGCTTAACTGCCGACATATTGCAGTCTCAATTTATTTATTTTAATTTATTTTAATGCAAGAGCTTTTATTTTAATTAATAATAATAACATAAAAATAATATAAATATTATTTTATTATAATTTTTTTGTTGCAACTACGTTTCCGTGAATACTTTTCGTCCGATTGGGACATGTTTTTTTCCTCACTATCGCAAATAAAATACAGATAAGCTTTGAAAGTTTAGAATAAAAAGCTTTTTTAGTCTTTTCTATTCAATGCAAGATGTCGCTAGATATCTTTAAAAGGAAGTTGATATTGTTTGTTTTAAAATTTATTAAATTTATATTCCAATTGTTTAAAGTTAATATTTAAAGCAACCGACTAATAACAGAACCACATTAATATGTACATTAAATATTTAGTTTTATTTATAGTGAATTTTTGTAAGCTTCTATGCAACTTTTCCTACGACGGTATATGTTGTCATAACTATGCACTTAAGATATATAGGTTTTAAATTCTAAATTTTTACATTGATTACACTAACAAAAATCATGATCTAGCTAAAATAAGTATACTCTATTTTGACTACACAAACGACAATACTCGTAGCTGGAAGGATTAATAATTAAGCTAAGAAATTACAGGATTCCAAATAACGTAGTGAAACTTATGGCAGTTTCCTGAGTAATAGAGAACTTCAAGCCAAAATCAAAAGCCACTGCTATACAACAAGAAAAACTACCATAAGGCTCCCGCTTATTTCCGATATACAATTATTTCTTATACAATTTATATCAGCGCTGTCCAGTCCAGATACGATCATGGGCCGCTACGAGTTACTGTGCAGATTTGAGGGCCGCAGATTCAACTACATACTTCAATGGTTTTTTTTTTTGGCGAAGAATAAAAATACGGTGTTAATGTTAAATTAGTTTTATTAATTTATTTATTTGAATTCACTTCGTTGGAATACCATAAAAATAAAATAATGCGATTTTACCAAAACATATCAAGGGAAAATTTGCACTAATAATTTACAAACATATATATGTTATATAGATAAGATAATATAATATTTTAATAAGTAGAAAATTACAGGCAATACAGTAAAAAAAACAAAACTATATTTATCACCAGAAAAATAAATCAGTGCTCAAGAAAACTGCTGTTAAAACACTCCGCCTTGGAGTGAGATCCCAAAGTGAAATATCTTCGACTAACTTTTAACAAAAAAATGTTTGTGGAACGAACATATGGGGGAGAACGGCTTTAAAGTGTATGGAATTCGTATGCCAATATATAAAACAAGAATGAAAATCAAAAACATGATCCTAATATACAAACAAGTAATTAGGTCTAGCTTATTATCCCTGCTTAATATATCGTACAAGTTCCTCAACACACACACTACATTGTTCTGGTATTTTCTTTGCTCTATTTGTTGTAATGCCGCGTCGGTCGAGTAGCTTTCGCCAGCCAGCCTCATTAATGGCTTGCTGTCGACAGTTGGTACTACTGAGCGCACCCAAATCGTTGATCACCTAGTCCTTCCATCGAAAATGCGGATGTCCTCTGCTGCATTTTCCACCTGCGAATCAAACACCTCTCTAGCCGGAGCAGTTTCTTTCATGCGTACGATATGATCAAGCTAGCGAAGCCGCTGAATTTTATGCACTTAACTATATTAATGTCAAACTTCGACGCGGCAAAGGACGACTCACGTCTGTAATAGCCAACTAAATAAGTAAGTAAGTATTTGTTATAAGACTTATTTTTTTCACTTCTTTTAAATTCATGACATTGTTCATCAATTTCTGTTTTCTTATATTTATTGTACTTTTTCTAATATATCTAGTATCATTTTAGGATAGCAATTTATCAATTAAACAGTTTTTGAGGGCATCACAATGGGCAATATATGTCTCCTATGGAAGTGCTAACAACGATCAGCACGCGCCTTCCGAACCTAATCTAACCTAAATACAGCCCATGAAACTATTTCGGATATTGGTTTAATTATTAGTATATTGTTCCTTTATTATCTCACTGTCACCATATTTAAGTCCCATTTAAATAAAGTGCATTATATATAATATTCGACCTTTATATTATAATTTATTTTTTTTCAGCAGTTAGTTTTCAAAGTCTAGCTAAAGTTTGGCAAAAGTCAGGACACAACAGACCCGACGGTCGTAGTGCCACATTCCATATCAGTAATAGAAAAAATTAAAAAATCTTTAATATTATAAATTCGTAGATGGTTTTAATATACGATTTATTTAGACATTCAATCGCCAAACGGCACTAAACATTGACGTAGACGGTATCAACAGGTTACCTATTCATTTCTAAAATAGTTCAAGTATGCTCTATTAAAACTGTAAAATTTCGACAATTATTGGACAGAATGTATAAGTACATATTAATACCAAAATTTGTCATTCTTCCGCAATAATTTTATTTTTATCTAATCATTTTATACCTAGAATGATTTTAAATTTATGGAAACATTTAAATCTACGTTCAATTAGTATAATTTTTATTCTAACTTTTACTGTTGAAAGTTAAAAACAATTTGCATTACAAAAAAAAAACCTACACGGGAAATTCAATTTAGTTGCAGTCACAACTTTTTGGTTTTAGTCTAAATTCTTTGAGATTTTTAAATTGAGCGAATAATTAATTCATTAGAAATTATCTGAAAATTTTGTTTTTAAAATAATAGAATGTTTGTGGAAAAATAATTATGAAAAAATAAATAAAAATAAAATGTAAACAAAATGATTCAATTCATCTGATCAGTGATCTGATTAGTGCCATGATTGTTGTTCAAAGTAGGTGCTATTCAAAAGTATTATAGCAACAATACGAATAATAACTGCTATAATGATATTATGCTAGCTATTATGCTATTATGGTAATAACTATTATGCTATCACCACCGAACCAATTAATATTTATATAAAAAATATATTTATATAATATTAATATAAAAAAATAACTTTTTTTAAAAATAAAAAAATAAGTTTAAAGATTTAAGAGAAGTTAGATGCCACCTAAAACTGTATAACTTTAAAACCCGATATATGGCGATAATCATACTATATGTATAAACAGCGTAGAGGAAAAAGTTGTTCAGAATAGCCGATTTTACTAAATTCCATCATTAAATCGTGGCGTCTAGGATATTGTAATCATGGCGAATTATTTATTCTGTATAATTTGAATTATATTTAACAATATTTTATACTAAAAATATTATGATTAATTTGAAGAATTATTAAAAATTAACTCAGCGAAAAGTAAATTTTTTGGCTTTAATCCATGATTTAAATGACTTTTTAATTTAATCTTTTTTTGCGGTACTTTTTCTTGTTGTGTATTCTTACTAAGCATAGAGTCTTACAGTATAATATATATCTATTCTTTACAAATAACATCTAAAATTATAGATATCAAATTCGCTTTTACGTTCTGTTTTTGCATTTGCGTTTGTTCAAATGCTTTTTAAGCATTTATTCATTTGAAATCTATTCGTTTGCGTTCTATACACATCTTATTTATTATGTTTATAAATTTAACACTAAAAAACCATAGGTTTTGCTTAAAGCACTAAAATGTTTTTTAATATTATTCACAATTTTTTTTACTTAAGAGAACAACAATAAAAAATCTTTCAATGATTGAAAATACTACAAAAACATTGCCGACTTTAAAGAACTATGATTATAAAACCAATGAAAAATGTGGTGTCTTTAGATAGATAGATAGATTAAATCATTTGATCGAAATAAAAGATAAACACTGAACATATAGTGATATTAAAACTACCTTACGAGACTGGGCATATATACGGATGCAAACTGTAGATTCTGCGAAGAGATTGAAGAGTCAGTCAGACATGCGATGTTAGAATGCCATGCGCTAAGGCACATACAAAATAGACTCTTGGAAATGTATACTCTTACGGAGCAGGCAATAAAACTGTGTAAAGTAGGTGCTATACTACTTTTAATTAAAGAAACAGGGCTTAGAGATTTACTCTAAATTCAAGAGGGAGCACAAAAGACTCGACGGCCGCAGTGCTACATCCCATATTCGTCATAATAATAATGATAATAGTATGTCAGCGAAAATTGCGGTTCTATAAAAATTTATTTGTATTTAAAATCCCGAATCATACTAAAGCAAAATCCTGATCGCTGGCCAAATAAAACTAATCATATCTGCATTTCAATTATAGATTACCACTGCAGCTTTAGAAGATAGTATAATGATCAACGAAATTTATTTTATTCAGTTTAACAAATTGACAATGAGATAATAATTATAATATTGATAGTGTATTAAATAACTAGCAAGCATACACTAACTTGGCAACACAGAATAAGTATTTGACAAATCAAAAAATGCCGGCTGATTAGGAATTATATAAAGACATTTCATTTGAAGTATCAAGGCAAGAAGTCAAAGTGAAAAAAATTAAAAGCAAAATTATTGATAAAGACTCGGTAAAAATTCCACCAGCATCGCAGGGAGTGATTCAAGTTTGTCATTTTTCACGAATTTTAGATACTGAATCTCAAAAAGAAGCGCGTCTTCGGTTTGCTTCCTATTTTCTTTAAAAATTCAAAAATGTAGGGTCCACCACCTTTAACAAAATTATAAAAGCGGATGAGGATTGATTCTACAAGCACGATCCACAAACAAAGCAATAAAGTACCAGTGGTATAGAGCCCATAAGG